TTTATCCACCACTATGCCTTCTGATAGTGGGACTCTTGACATGCCGTTCATGAGGCTCTACAAGCTCTTGATGAGAGCCAGCACTTCGGTCTAGTAACCCAGTCTCGGAATCATGGTGGGTTGCACTACCTTATCAGACAGGGAGTTCACTGTCAATCGCATCCAACACCCAAAAAATCCTCCGAGATACCAGTCCCACGGCACAGGCTGGCGTCACATGCCCTGCATGCATAAAATGGACGGTTGTTATTCGATCATAGATGTTGTTTCGTCCCTGGAAGACCCAGCAAAACTTTTGTGCTTTGGGGGCTTGATCCCGTCAGTCGACGACGCAAAATCGACTCTTCTCTTGCTACGCGACACAGAGAGGCGGGTTATGTTCCGACGTTGTATCTGTACTCTCCGTCAGACAATTTGAATGACTCCCTTTGTTCAAATAGGGGTGATGACGCTTCGACTGCTCTCGGAGTAGCCTACTCACCTTGAAGTGCTGCAGTGCGACATTCGATCGTGAGGGTGGGTGTCAACCCAATGCCAAGCATAACACAACTAGCGTATTGTACGGTACGGGCCAATTTGTTGTGTACTGCGATAGCGACGTACGCAGCTGTGCATGCCGAGTAGCCGGGTGCGCATGTGGTAGTGCAACTAGGGCCGGGGACTTGACATCCTCTATCAGCCTTATGCGATAAGCTTGCATGCAGAATGTGACGGCATGACTGGACCAACCATACTGAAGCAGCTGCCGTGAGTCGCTGATAAGACTTGCACATTGTCAAGTTATGAATCCAAGTGTTTTCAGTAATCAGTTGTCGATAGCAAAAGTCTCAAAGTCGCTAGCAGCTGTCAGCGATTTTGAGGTGTTTGGATAATACATGCCAGGGCTCATCGTGTTCAACAGGTCGCAAATGAGGACCTCTGTAGTTGTGCAACACAGAAAAAGCGAGAATCAGGTTCATGATAGCATAACTTTAACACCAGTGCGTCTTTCATCAGGCTCTCTTGACACTATTGAAAAATGCGCTGCTGAACAGAGCAGTGCTTTTCGAGCCATGAAGGTCGCCTGCGCGGGTCGAATAACAGGTGAACAAGGAGTTCAACCTTGTACAAAGCATGATGAACGTTCCCGAGACGTCTAATCAGCAGCAAGGTTGAGCCGTCATGAAGCTAAGCAATTCACATAGACATCATCTCTTCAAAGCCGGAAGATCATGTTGGAAGACTAGATGTCAAAATAGGGAACGTCTCTGAAAATGTAAACCTGTACGTTATATCCCGGCAGTCATTGCTTACGAAAGCTATGGTTCTATTAAAATGCTTCACTATCACCGATGTAGCATCCTGAGAGTGCCAGTAGTTTCGATATCCGGATCTAGGCTGTAAGGTGTTACTGGGATAAGGATTGACGTAGACATCGGATCTCCCGGCATGCACGCCCATTACTATAACCACTTCTGACTTTTGGAAGACTGAGATCTTCTCAACGTATGGATATCGATTGCGAATATTACTTGGAATCATGGCTGCTCGATCATCTTGCGTCTTGTTTATCGAAAGCATTAGATGGCCAACCACCTGCCTTCAATTTCAAAAGGGACGTGGGTTATGTATAGATATCAAATACCAAAAGGCGTAACAGGGTGATTTGGAAGATTTTCTGGCTGAAGAGCTTGATTCAGAGTGTCTTCAAATTTTTTTGGTTAGCAACAACTAGACTCTGCTCCGACAATTGAACTGTTACCTGCATGAAGTGGCGGCTTGCATGGATGCCACTGGCTTGATTACTCTTAAGTACAAGAAGCGAGAGCTCATACTGGCAGAAGTGAGATACATGACTTGGACTGTTGATGCCCATAAGACTATATGACCACTCGGGTGACAAAAATTAGCGCCAGGATTTGTAAGGTAAAGGCATAGGAAAGCGGCGCTGGTTTTTGTCATCCGAGTGATGACTCCGATTCTAATTTGAGTATGTCTTGAAAAAATGGAGAACGGCTGCAAGAAGCTGGTCTTCAACGTCCCACACTGTGGCAATCTAGTCACCGAAAGCATCCCTCCAACCCTCACATTCTTGACGTCCTTCTTGTTCGATCCCAATTCGAGCTGTCGGAGTCAACGACCCACCCACCTGTCCCAAACCTGTCAAATCCTTCTTGGAAGCACGGTTATCGACTCGCCAATCCGATAGAGTCATCTTATCTTGCGGCCTGCTTAGGCGAGGTGAAGATGCGTAACGTCAAGCGTGGGGCAGGACTTGCTTCGAAAATGCGCAAAATGCGGGGAAAATATGGGCGATGAGGAAAATCAGCTACCGCTACAAGCCTGATTAGGCATTGTTTCCCCAGATGTTTACCTTGTAGTTAACCCGCGGGTTATTTCATTCCCTTTCACGGAGGTTCGGGGATGCCACGCCACGTCACCCACATGATGTTTGGACCAATAGATGATGATGGATATGCGAATGGTGGGTGTTTGTCAATCGGCTTATAAGTAGAAATCAAGTCAAAATAGCAAAGTTTCTTTTTACCGGATCATATCTTCGACTCCAACATTTTCCAACTCGGTTTGGACATCTGTATATCTGACAACGGAGCTACCGACTGAACAGTTCGCGCGAAAAGCAACCACCCAACGCTGATAGCCGGCTTATTTCTGACGGCTTCCTGACTAAAGATACTACTATGCCTCACGCAGAGTCCTCAACCATAACAACGCCTCCCACCATCAATGGCGTTCACCTCCACGTCAATGATGGCCTACTCTCCCCAACGAGGTCGAGGCTCTAATCCAGTCCTATCCAGCAGAAGACCTCAACATCCTCCGCGAAAGGTTCCGCCGGAATGGCTACCTTCTCGTCAAGGGGCTTATCCCGCGAAGATGTTCTCTCAGCCCGTGAATCCTACTTCAAGTCACTTGCCCCCAGCGGCGTGACCAAGCCAGGAACATCTCTCAGAGACGGAATATTTGATGATGCAAAATCGCCCGAAGACTACCCGGGTATCGGTGCCGGCAGCGTCAAGAATGCCGCCCCAGGCGAGACCGACAAGTCCGCAATCTTCACCTCAGCAGCTTTGAAAGCGCACACGGAAGACTGGTACGCCGGCTCTGAGGATGGCACAGTCCAAGGCTTCTGCAACCACCCGATCCTCCACGACTTCATCTCACGCTTCACGTTGTGGGGCGACAACACGCTCACCGTCAAGCGCACACTGCTTCGCAACAACACGCCGGGCAACAAGGCCATTGGCGTGCACTATGATCAGTCCTTTATGCGGTACGGAGAGCCAACTTCCGTGACGGCCTGGGTGCCCATCGGCGACGTGCGGCTCGAGGGCGGCGGGCTGATCTATATGCAAGACGGCGAGAAGCTAGGCGAGGAGATTGAGAACGAGTTCACAGCCAAGGCCAAGGCAGCGGGTATGAGTGAAGATGAGACGAAGAACGCGTTTAATGCAAACATGATGACAACAGGATTTCTATCCGAGGGGCCAGCGGACTTCGGAAGGAGGTATGGTAAGAAGTGGTTGGTGAGTGCATATGAGGCCGGCGATGTTGTGTTTCACTCGGCACATATGGTAAGTCTATTCAATGATCCCTAGCTGGTCGTGATCTGCCCTTGGTGCATCGGTCTCTAACATGGGTGTCAGATTCATGCCTCGACTAAGAACCATGACCCTGAGGGCCGTATCAGACTCGGGACCGACTTGCGCTTCGTCGACAAGAGCCGACCATGGGATACTGTGAGGCACATTCACACCACTATGATCTGACATAGCGACTGATGACAAATAGCGATGGGATAAGCACTACAGCTTCGGCGATGGCGTTTAACATCTTCAACCACGTACTAACTACAGAATAGATACTTGATGGTATTTTCTGGCCATGTTACTTTTTCACACGTACAGAGAAAGTAGGAGGTCAATGGAGATTAAAAAACACGTTTTGGGTATTTCCGACTCCTAGCAATAGCAAGTCGTTATTTTCAACCACGATGATCATCCCCGTTCACCTAGACTGGAAACTATCAAGCTCTGTCCATTGCTCCTTTAGAGTCTTGACCAGTGCTCCTGTTTTCCACTGCACGATGGTCCTCACCTGTGCCAAATATTTGATGGTATGTTCTCGCTCGAGTGGGTGTCTTATGAGATGCCCGCCTGTGATGTTGATGTCAGATACCCTCTGGAAGTGGACACAGGCCTAGGTGAACTCACATAGAGACAGCATATGCGCCGGTAAATAATAGGCGTTAACTGCTTCGTTCGATAGAGCCAATCCCATCAGAATACAGAGATAGAACGTGATCTCGCGCTGATAGAGTTGTTAATAGTGTGCAGGAAGTGATGCCTCATACTTTACCTACCTCACTATCCATCCTCTTTTTCGTCCCCTCAAATCCCGCCGTCGGGTTTGAGCTATTGTAGTCATGGAAGCAAAATATGGCTTTCGAAGCGTAATAGTAGCCGAGACCGACGGTGGCTGGATAAATCAGCACCGGTGCGCAAACCCTTCCATGCTAAGGGATCTGCCTCTAGTCTCCGTTTTTGACTTGGCACAGGAATGAGCGCTCTTCTTACCTGGATCAGCAGCCATCCAGAGGGTTGGGAAAGGCCTCTCCCTCACCACATCTGCCTTTTCGTAAAAGAGCGGTCGGAACGAGATGGTTTCTCTCGATACCAAACCTCCACGTCGGCTTGCAGTTTCTCCCACGCCGTCGCGCTATCTGTAGGGGATTCTATCCCATCCTCGGGAAAGAAAAGCTTCAGCACCTTTGCGAATAGGTACACGATGCGATTTGCGTGCGCCGTGTCATCGTTGCTTTTGAATGTGGACGATCTCTCAAAGTTCTCCAAGCATATTTCTATGGGTGTTCGACGAACCAGGTATACGTAAAGGGCCTGGCGGAGGTGGACCCAACTCGCGGCCTCGGCTAGCCCGCCCTGTGTGACAAAACGGGCGATGGCGTCGTGATTCAATAGGTTTCTGGTACCTCTGAGGTGGTGGTAGTGTGAATCCGTTTCGTTGTCGTATTCCTCGTACAGGCGCATGATGACGACAGCCGTCAGAAGGATGGAGTCCCATGTCTCGGGCGGTTGCGAAAATGCTTCGATGAGCAGCTCGATGCAGCGGTTATGATAGTAGGTGCTTTCTAGATCGGACTCTTCATTGGAGTCGTCATTACATTGGGTGTCGAAACGACTCGCAAGAGCAAAGATACCGTTGAGCAAGATGGGTTTGCGAAGGGCTAGGCGAGGAACATCTAGAGTGAAAGGTCGGGCGTCGTGACAGGCATCGATCTGGAACGGTAACAGACATCAGCAATGTTGTTTTCACAGTAGCATCGCACTTGAAAGAAGCCTCACAGATGGCGCTATCCTCAAGATATAAGTCCGGAATAAGAACGCCTGCCGCCCAGTGAACCCGTAACATCCAGGGTCCCGGGCTGGCCCCGGAGATTTGCATCCGAGATAAGACCATCAGCCCGTTCTAGCTGATGTAAAGAGCCAGCTTGCGTTAAAGGAGAATCTCCTAGAAGATAGGATATTTGAAGCTGGGGCTGTACTTCCCCAGCGTTCCACTGACTGCTGTCGGCTGTGAGACCATCGCAGTCGGATTCTAGGAACCTTAGGCTCGACGTAAAGCTAGCACGATGGCGGATTTCCGGCGGCGGTCCTCCATTCAGCACGAACCCAATCGGTGCACTCCCATCTCCGTGTGAACCGTGGCCTGAGAATCGCTGACCGGGTGCTTCGGCTCGAAAGCTGTGCGTGGCCGGCGGAGTGAACTCGAATGCGAATTGAGTCTCGTATGAGGCAGAACCATGCAGAGATGTGTGAGAGGTAAAGCTGTTGCTCCTGTCACCGGTAGTCTGGACCGACTGGACGGCTGGCGATGATGACGCTTCGGTAGCAGCTTCATCTCCGCGGCTTACTTTGCTCTTGCGCCTGACTGAAGAGAGTGTGAGCTTATGTATGGCGTGCAAGGGGCGGTGAGATGATCGCCAGCGAGACTGAGACAGGGGAGCTGGGTGTGGATGTGAAGACGGTAGGGGCACATCGAGTCATCCAACAAAGGAAGTCTAGACAAACCTCTCTGGTCCGCCTTGCGGGCTTTATCACCAGCAGCCTTCCTCGCGCTACCGGGCGCGTGCTTGAACCGTAGCGTCGTGTCAAAGTGACATTCAAGATCAGCTTCGACACACGCGCCGCAGCCCGTCGCACCGGGTTGCACGACGCATTTACGGTGACGCCGCCGGCAGGCGTCACAGCAGCGCCGGGGCTTCATGTAGGTCCGGCCAGACCCTCGCTCCCAAACCCAGATCCGTCTCGCCGTTCGGGTGTCATCCGAATCCCGTTCTGTTGAATTAGACTCGATTAAAATGCCAAATTCACTTCGGATTAATCAACTCGAGTGTGAATGGCCGGTTAGTGGGTATTCAACCCCGAGTACCGAGGTAGGCAGACAACAGTGCGATGCTTTCTCGAGATTTTGGGATATGCGGGGGAGACAAAAGATGAATCCCGCGGGTTACATGGCCTTTTGAAGACATGGTCGGGGCTCGGGATCGACACTAGGCGGGGCAGGAAATGCGGGGTGAACCCCGAGCATAAGCATGCAGTACCGCGATTAAAGGTGCGTCACGGGGGTTGCTCCGTGTAAGATCCTGTAGGGTGTTAGTATCATGGTGCCGAGCGAATGGAGGTGGTTTCTGGTGCGATTGTGTGGCCGCTGACCGAGAGAAGGAAGTAATAGTCAGTAGACGCTATCGTCTTTACTTTGTATAAGTCAAGTCACCCACTTCTGGGCACCCCACCCATGTGGGCACCCACAAAACGAAGCTATCGCAACAACACCACCCTTTTCAATTGACTATCGCCGAGGCCCAGATGCAACTATGATACAGCTTTCTGCCTCACTAGGGCAATCAGATGCGCTAGATTCATCTATATCAATTTCAGCATTGCTAGCCTTGATCTGGGCTTGCTGTATATTGCTGATGTTAGTGAACTTAGTGTTAAGGTTGATTTTGATAGTCTTCTTTTTTTTTATTGTAGTGTTGTTGATTTAGGCCTGGAGAAGTTGTATTTAGTGGTAGGTAGTAGCTAGCTAGAAGGATTGCTTTTGGAAGCCTTTTTTGACCTTTCTGAAGAGCTGGCGTTGTGTGGTAATACTTTGATTTAGCTTGCTGAATAAGTCTAGTTGACTATTAAGGTCCTTTATTTTCCTAGGCGTAGACTATGTAATAGCAGATGAAGCAGATGCTTATCCCTCTATATCCTGGGCATCTTAGATACTTTGGGTACCTTGGGTAGCCTTATTAAGTAGTGTTATTAGTGTTATTGCTTTAGGCAGTAATAAAGAGCTTATAAGAGGTTTATTTATAGTAATAGGCTATAGTCTAGTATATTTCTAGTTATTTAGAATATTCTTTTTTATTAGTTTAGTTAAGTGTGTTAGCTAATAATAAAATAAAAAGTATCTCTTATTTATTATAGTTAAATTATTTTATTAGCTAAGGTTAAGCTAGAGCCTTTTGTGATAAGTTGTTTTAATTAGGCTAAAGATTAACTAATCTAGTGGTTAAAGGATATAGGAGGTATATAGCAGCAAGAATAATAGATAGACGTTATTAATATAGTATTACTATATGAATTTTGTTGTTATATAGCTTTTATACTTATCTAGGACTAGTAGTCTAGTTTGATTAGGCTAGGAAAAGGCAGTTTGTAGCAAGAAGACCTTTAATAGTTACTTAATAATAGTCTTATTAGTTATTTATTTATTCTCTGTTATTATAAACTCTTATTTATTATATAGGCTAAGATCTAGAAGAAACTATTACTACTAGACTATTTTGCCCTTATATATTACAAGAGGATATAGTGTTAGGCCTTTAGCTGAGATACACTTAATAATAGATACCTAGGCTTATGATCCAGGCTGCTTTTTCTGTATAGACTTAGTTTTTGTTTTACTTAGTACTAGCCTATTATGCCTTGGCCCTTAAGGATACTAGTCTTATTTATGTTATATCTGTTGGTTAGCTAGATGGCTGATATTGATAGGATCGTAAGATATTTAAACTAGTCCCTGATAATCTTAGTAGATGCCTTATTAACACGTCTAGAATCAATAGATCGACTTCTCTGGACCTTGATAGATAGGTTTCTTTGTACAAAGGCGTCTATCTATCTCTTCCCTAGAGGCTGGGTATTGCCTATGGCATGGAGGATACGCTGGGCAAAAACCTTGACTTGTTGATGCGTTGGCGCAAGCCCAAGGTCAGCCTGTATCTGTACCCAATTAGCCAGCTTAGCCTCCTGACTAACAGAGAGCCGCTGGAGGTCAGTAAATGCGATATCTCTAGGTTGGATACCCTTGAGGCGATTCTGAAGTGTTGACCGAGGGACGCCCTATTTCCTAGATGCTGCCTGGACAGGGACGCCGTTGGCGATATCCCCAAGAGCCTTGCTAACCTCATACTCGGTATATTGACCCATAGGGTATAGAAGAAGGTATCTGCAAAAGATGAAGTGATTTGGATAAGGGATGAAAATGTTGTGATAGTTTGAAGTGGGAGGCTGGTCATGGTGTTGAGGGATTTTTGGGGTGCCCACATGGGTGGGGTGCCCAGAAGTGGGTGACTTGACTTACCATTCTCTCTGTCCCCAACCCAACGGCCCAACGAGAACTGTTGGTAACAGGTAACGAATGGAAGCAGAACCTGACCGTTTCCGATCGGAAACAGGCAAACCAATATCTACTCGGTAACAGACAGACCCGTCGGACGCTTTGAGGTACATATTGACCCAATGGAGGAGCTCTCCAAGTTTGCCGTTGAAACCCACAGCAATTCCAACCTCACCACGAAACTGTACGGGTCCAATGCCATTGTCGTCTAAGGGTCAGAATGAATAAGAAAAATGACGTGTATTATATTGTCACCAAAACCAGCCAATAATCACGAAAACAATAGCCTAGGAAGTCCCCTATCATCGCATCTGACATCTAGGCTCAGATTCTAGCCACAAGGCGCTGTGCTGAAAGCTTTTCGCAGGGAAATGGAAGCGATCCCAATCCAGCACATCTATCAAATCGTTGTTTTAATGATAGATTAAACCATTTCTTCAGAGTAGATCGCATCACACCACATCGAGGTGGCTGATAGCAACGCTAAATAAAATCGGAAAAGATCATAAAACTGAATGGTAAGTCCACTTGACGATTTAGTTTAAGTTCATGGGACTAAAGCTTGTCTTGATGGACAAAATAGCTTAACAACCATGCCATTCGCGTTCTTTCTCTACTGATACTAACTGACGCAAAAGAGATGGTGTTTGGGCTATAGAAAAGCAGTCGAGTTATCGCAAATTTTGCATTCTTACGGCTTTTCCTTGGGATGGTTGGTAATCACGATGGCAGTTGGACATGCGAGTTGTGCCTAGAGTCTTGGCTACTTGCTTCCGCCCTCTTCGCTGCTTCCGTGATCTGATGGAACTACTGGGCCATGAACCCATCAGATCGGTATGCAGTAGCCTTGGACTGTTTTCTACTAAAACATCAATCACCGTCAGGGACGAGGTTATTGGATTCTCTTGTGAGAGGTCTGGTGTTAACAAAGGAGCGCGGATTGAGAACCTTAGCACTCTTGCTCGAGAATCTAATCCTTGACACCGTACCCTTTTTGGTTATCATTGTAGATCTTTCTTGGACGCGTCCCATTTGTTTGCAAGTCGCACCGGTGCCACAAGCTAGTCAGTTAGACCGAATGAATGCCCCTCTTCTACACATCTGTCAAACCTTCGGCTCATGACATTGCCAAGAGGCTGTTGCTATGCTGAACACTGAATTACTGGCTTTTCTTTACAATAACTCATCTCATGAGCCTCGATCGAGCTTCACGTTACGAACACGCTGCTACACATTGCTTCGGGACAAATGACCAACAGAGGGGCCATGATTGGCCCAGTCCGGGTGGACTCGGGAATGCTTACGTAAAAGATATCGCAGTGTCGCCGCTAACCCGTTTCTGGACTAGTGCATCTAGCTCCAAGATCCGCCAGAGGGGCAGATCTGCTTTTACAGGCTTTGACAGAAAGCCATCTCGTTTTCCAGATCTTTCTGGATTTGAGGGGGAAGCCGGGTTCAAGTGAGCGCGACGGTAAAGGCTCTTTTCAGAGAAGCACGTTTCTCACGCGTTCGCGCCGCCGTTGCTCAGTTCTTGCAACCTTCCACTTGAATCCAACACAAGGACAAGAGGAACTGTCATGCATGCGTCGGCAAAATAGTCTCCGAGCGCATTCGGTTCCCGGCAAACAACAAGCCCTACGACGAAACGATACTCGCATCTGAAAAGGCTCATTGCACCACAACGCGCAACATAAGGTTCGATTGAACCTTCGTATCTGCCGTCTCCCGTACCTATTTCCGGTGACGTGGGCAAGGTACAAGGTTTGCCGTCTCTTCCGGCATCAACAAACCCAACCAAGCGCCGAACAAACATCAAGGGCCAATTCATCAGACGCAGCCAAGGAGCCTCACAGGCGTGGGCCGCGCTCCCCACCGACGCGTCACTAACAATCTGCACCAGTCGGCCTAGGGCCTGGGCGTGGCCAGGGCATGACGCTGTCTTTGTCACAGCTGAAATGCAGAGATTTTTGCATACAAGCCACGGACCACAGCTCATAACCACGACTCGGCGCGCGGTCACCCGAGAGAGTCCATCACGGAGGAATCGAGGACCATGCCAGAGGGAGGGAGTCAAAACTGGCTTATCGGCGCTGGGTTTGTCGGCTATCGTGGTGCATCCCCCTCGGAATAGAGCGGGAGCGCTGAGCCCATGGGGTAAGTGGGAGGGCCTATCACTGGTGGCCCCCTCGTGCGATGCGACCATGGGAGGAACCGGGTATTGGAGGAAGCCGTGACGTTTACGCGTGGACGAGAATGCGGGTTGGCGCGGGGGGGATATATGCATTGCCGGCGATACAGCGAAGCAGTTTATCCTCGGGTGCTCATCATGGTCCTGGTGGTTGCCAGTGATACTGCACTGGGCGTCAGCCAAGCAAGTAGTGACCGAGTGGTGATGAGCTGACAGCGACGCTGGGTACTGTACCTCGAGGTATGCTGATATCACTCCTAGGGTGCAAAAGCGTACTGCATTTCCGGAGTGATACCATCAACATCGACAAGTGCAACAAAGGATAGGGCCAAAGTCTCGTCGACCGGGTAGCATCCCCAATCGTCAAACACCAGGAGTCTCCTACCGGCCCTGGCAGACACAAGTGATCCCAAGCCGGATGACTCCCCAGGCGCGCCAAGTGCAAGCCGAGCCCCCCCATGGCCCGTCCCAAGCCAGTTCCAAGGCTCAAGGATCCATCGGGCTCCCAAGGGGGCTCTCACGGCTGGGATAACACTGGCCAATAGCCCGTTAGTGGCCAGAATCTGCTGACGCTTGCTTCAGACTGATTGTCCCCCTGGAGGACTTGGAAGGCTGTGTTCCGCATTTGGCCGAAGCATCGTTCCCGCCCCCGCCCCTAAAAATTCTAGATCCGAAGACGGCCACGCCCTGCTGGGCCCGAGATCGATAGTGGTGTGTGTCTCCCTGCCGCTGCTGCTGCGCGCTCGATTGTCACTGCCCGTATCTATTTAGGTACAAGAGTACCTTGACATCATCATCGCTTGTGATTTTTCCACGCCCCCTTTCAACGACTCTTGACTCAGCTCGTGTGATCCATCTCCGTTTTCATAGCATCCTCTTACGATACCAATCAAACAACACGTTCAAAATCACAGTTTACAGCGTTCCACCACGAAGAGCCATTGTACTTGAGGCCCTGAATTGAGTGGGACTTGGACGGAAACGAGGCCATCATTGAAAAGGAAAAAAGAGACGTCAACCACCTTACCGCCGCCACGATGAACTGTCCCTCGCGCAACGACGACATCACGCTGGAGCATCCCGACTGGAACCAGAACCCGCCCTTTCTCGCCGCCGACCTCACCACCTGCGAGGACCTGAACGGCATCGCCAACGCCCGCGAGCAACGCCGCGCCCGGAGCGGTGCCGGGGATGGGTCCGACGGCCGGGGTGACGAGATGAATTACCAGACGTTACCGCGCGTTTACAACCCGATCGGAGGCGCCCCGTTTCGGGAGGGTGGAACTATGGTAAGTCCCTTTTTTTTTTCCGAGAATGATTCCAAAATGCTACTAAGCTACGATGCACAATATGTGTTCGTCACCGCTCAATGGCTGCACCAACGGAATGGGAAAACAGGTGGCCAGCTGCTGTTGAGCACCTCACCGCCCTCGGTATTCATGTGCAAGCGCCAACACCGACGACGTCTAAACACCACCTCACAACACGAAATGCACATGGGACGCTGACCAACATCATCTTAGGTTTCCACCCCCGAAACAAAAAGGTGCATGGTGGTGACGACCATACACCTCCCCTCTGGGCCTCCGCGCCCCCCGCTCCGCCCTCTGGGGCTGGGTGAGTTGGATCATGTCCGTCCTTGGCTGTTCGGCCATCATCTCTGCTCTCAAGAGCCCCGAGGCTGTTGCTTCGTTCCTCGTTGCATCCAAGCAAACCGCCCAATGTGAGTTTACTCTCTGAATCCTTTGCTTAGCCTTCAGTCATGATATCGCACGCAAACGCACAAACTAATTTCACCCTTCGTCCCACAAACTCTCACATGAACATAAGCTGACGGCACAGCCATCGCCAAACACTCCGCCCGCTCCGTCCGCCGCTCGACCTGCCCGACTGGCGGCCTCGGCAACGAGGACGCCTACAACACGCCCTTCCACGTCGGCGCCCTCTTCATCATCCTCGGCGTCTCCTTCCTCGCCTGCGCCTTCCCCCTCATCGCCTCCGTCACCCCAGGCGTCCGCATCCCTCGCCCCTTTTTCTTCGCCGTACGCCACTTCGGCACCGGCGTCCTTCTCGCTACGGCCTTTGTCCACCTCCTCCCCACGGCCTTCACCCTCCTCGGCAACCCGTGCCTCAGCTCCTTCTGGGTCGAGGACTACCCGCCATGCCGGGCGCCATCGCCCTGGCCGGAATCTTCCTGGTCACCATCATCGAAATGGTCTTCCAACCCGCCCGCCACATGTCCCACGCCCCCGACGACTCCGTCCTCTCGCCGCAGCGTTCGGGATCCGTCGACAACGACGACAACCGTGATCCCGGGCCCTACCTCTCGAGATGGCCCGAGCCGCGGCGCCGCCGGCAGCATGGGCCGCACCCTCTCCCGCATCGGACGGGACGAGCAGCAGGCCGGTGACAGGCTTGCCAAGCGCGTTGACGAGGAGAGCCGCGCCGTGCAGCTCCACGCCAACGGCGTCGTGACCCTCTCCCCCGCGCAGCAACACCAAAAAGGACATTCTGCAGTGCATGATGCTCGAGGTCGGAATCCTGTTCCACTCCGTCTTCATCGGCATGACGCTCAGCGTCTCCGTCGGCCACGAGTTCGTCATCCTCCTCATCGCCATCGCCTTCCACCAGACCTTTGAGGGGCTCGCCCTCGGCTCCCGCATCGCCTCCATCGACTGGCCCAAGGGTAGCCTGCAGCCGTGGATGATGGCCTCGCGTACGGGTGCACCACGCCCATCGGCCAGGCCATCGGGCTCGCGACCCATAGGCTGTACAGCCCGAACTCGGAGTTCGGCCTGATCCTGGTCGGCACGATGAACGCCCTTTCGTCCGGCCTGCTTGTCTTTGCCGCGCTGATTGAGCTGCTCGCCGAGGACTTCCTGTCCGACGAGAGCTGGCGCATCCTTCGGGGCTCCAAGCGCGTCTGGGCCTGCCTGCTCGTCTTCTTTGGCGCGTTCGGCATGAGTCTCGTCGGTGCATGGGCTTAAGTCTGCATGCCAGCTTATACCGGGGACGGGGTAAATGATCCATCGCGTCGAGAGATCTCTGGAGACCTAGACTATTAGTGGTTCCTCGTTCCGTATATTGGATGTTGTCGGCCATCCTGCGGTCTTACTGCGCCTGAAAAGACGCGGTGAGGCGTCCATTCGGAAACCATGACGAGATCATGAAGAGGGAATGGCGCGAGCTGTCTCTTCACGATCCCGTCAACATTGCCGTTCTTTGACAGAGGTGTGCAGTCAGCTGCTGACCTTGGTTTCTATTTAAAGTTGAGATTGCCGATGGCTGTTTGATGGATTATGTTCATTGAGCCACGGCTTGAAAAAGCCGATGGCCCAGGTACCTTGATTGATATTTGTTTCCGCCCATCCATGGGTGTCCGCTCGTTTAAAGTTCCAAAGGCCACAATTAGATCTCGCAGAAAAGATTAGAGGAAGGCATTAAATAAGAATACTTGTTGGAATAACAGCACCAGCTGGTTGTACGACACGCACGACTCAGGGACACACATCATGGCAGAGGGCACAGACTGGATATTCGGCCCTCGGTTATCCATTGAGGGGATCAAAAGTATATTCATGCCGAACTGACTCAGGGACGTACGAGATCATATATCTTGTGTACGAAAGCCAAGTCTTGTAGTTAGGAAGATAATCACGGAAAATACATCTTTGGTTCACCCTAACTTTAACCCGAGTACGATCGTACAAACGGGTTCTCTCAGGAAGAGAGAATCCATTCAACACTGATCAGTGGTTGCTTGGCAATCCGTGCGATTGCTTTGTGCAATCACAGATTAGCAAGAGTGAAGAGACAAGACTTAGGCTTTACGGCCGGGCTACCGGGTAGTCTTGCACTTCGTGCGAGGCGAGAAATCCTCAGGGATACCTAAGGGGTCACGCTAGAAAGTCTCTTGTGCTAAGAAGCCTTAATCCTACCTATTGTCGCCTGCTAAGCTGAACCGGGTAGATAGGATAAAGACGACTTTTGCTTTACTATCGTACAAGACAGATTCCCGTTGTCGCCTGCTAAGCTGAACCGGACGAGAATCTTTATTGTACCGTACGTAGAGTACAAAGTGTGCGCCACGGCACCAAACAAACCAATTTTGACGTCGTACGATACGAAACGACTACCGAACACAACATGGCTTCCCAAGAGGATCCAGAAGACAATCGTCAAAGCCAATATGACAATATTGATGGATACCTGCCAACGTACGAAGAAATAAGTGCAAGGAGCGAAGTCCCACTGCACACGTGGAAGAAGACTGTGAATCCTAGACGCTGGGGAAATCCAGTCGATATTACACAGCACCGTCCGAAGAAGAGATGACTACGTACATTGCGTACATCAACATGGAAATGCTTCATCTTAGGCAATCAAAGGAAAACCTGACAATATCACTGTACGAAGATTTTAACGAATGGTCTACCTTCCAATGGGAAAAGGTCTATCGTGCGTTCAGGCAGAGTTCATACGACTTATTGAGCTAAAGGGATTCCGATTACCGCCAATAAGAAATGTGAATCAACAGCTAGTTGAATTCATCAAGGAGATTGGGAGGAAGTTTGATGAGCAAGAAGAACAGCTTTCTACTCGTACAGCACTTACACCAAGTCGTACGATTACAACAACTCAAACACCTGTTCGAAACCCTGAATCAACTTTACCCCAAAACACAGCTGAACCAACAACAGAGCCAATCGAACCCCCGTACGATACACAGACAACTCAAACATCAATCGTACGAGAGCAGTCACAATCAGCTTCAGGAAACATACCTCCTGGAACAAGATTCACACAGGAGGTTGAGAGTTTTCCACAAATCCAGGGTCGTACAACACCTTTACATCAAGGAGACAGCATCTATGACCTACCACCAAGACGAATAGTCCAGAATGGATTGTGCGAGCCAACTACAATTTCAATCTTCCAAAAGGGATGGAGAAAGGACAGGAATTATACGGGCAAGCCGTACGATATCCTGTACGACAAGGCAAAGGTCTTTATCAGTTTTTGTCGACGCCTCAGGATCACTGAAGACCAATACCATGCAGTATTTCCTGATATCTTGGCTGATCGTGCGGAAGAGTTTTATCTCCATCACATTGGACCAACAAGGAGATGGGACGAGATGTACAACATGTTAGAAATGCATTTTAACACTAACATCAACCACACTCTCTATTGGACAGATTGGACAAGTCTATCCTTCGCACGAGTCAGACAAGACAATCCAGACAAGAATCTGATGGACGTATTAGAGATACTCTTAGACAAGATACCCCTCGTACAACGGGCACTTGGCCCAGGTTTTCAGGGGGAGATTATGCTTCGTACGCAAGTCACCCAAGCGTGCAGAGGTGTACCAGAGCTAGAAACTGCTCTAAGCAATCTTAAAGCACATCACACGTGCGAGCAATTCTTTTCTAGTCTAAGAGCATCACTACAAGTCGCTTTAGACAGGAAGTCTATGTCGCACGACATCAACTTCGTGGATAGAAGGTACTCTAACAACAAGAGTTACCCACGACCATCGTACAATAGACCGTCAGACAACAGAGGATCTTCTCGACAACCTTGGAAAGGTCAACCTTCATCACGACCTAGGTTTAATCGTGCAATATCTAAGAAAAGATGTTTTGTGTGCAAGAAGGAGGGTTGTTGGTCTACGAATCATTCGGACGAAGAACGTAATCGCGCGAAAGACCAATACCTTCAGGCATGCGGTATACTTGAACAAGAACCACAGAGAGATTTTGCCTCGTACCTTCTTGACTTTGAAGGAGAAAACCCAGTGGACGAATCGTGCGATGAGGAGGGAGAATTTACAGGAGATGAAGAGACATCAGCTTTCCTAATGTCTTCTTCATTCTTCCATCGCACGACAGGGGAGGATATCTTTTCATTACCAAAGACGTCAGAGGCCTGTCAATTCTTGTTGCACGATCCTTATATCTCATCGTACCAAGGGGAACTATGGGATACAGGAGCAGCGAAGTTCTCTACTGTAGGGAAACCTCAAGTCCTTGCATACCTACGGGAGAACCCTCGTACGGCAATATCCTGGGGACCAGGATCAGCAAACGTACGATTCGGGGCAAGTGACTCAATCACATCGGTTGGCACTATGGAAATGGAGAATCAGCTTGGAAAGGTTACGTATCACATCCTTGATGCTCCTACTCCGTTCCTGTTTTCATTGTACGATGCAGACAGGTTAGGTGCATATTTCAATAACGTCGACAACGTGATTGTACGGCAGGATGGAAAACCTATCCCAGTCGTACGGAAATGGGGTCACCCATTCTTCAACCTTAGTCGCACAGAGGCCAGCATGTTCTTCACAGAAGGACAACTCCGAAGGCTTCACAGACGATTTGGACATCCTCGTACGGACCGTCTTTACCACCTCCTGAAGAAGGCTGGGCATCACAACATTGACATCAACATTCTAGAAAAGGTCCAGAAGTTTTGTCATCATTGTCAATCGCACGACTCAGCA